CTGTCATTCGCACTATATTCTGACAAATATCCTTAGGTTGTACAGGAAATAATATGGAATGTTATTATGAAATAAAGTGAAAACAAAAACTACAAAATATTTATAAATGTTCAAATATGAAAAAAGTTTCTTTTCGGAAAGGAAAAACTTTGTGGTAATTGCACTTTTAAAAGAAAAATTAAAAATATATTTGAGTAGACAGGCATATAGGAAGAGTGGTTACACTCATGGGGCAAAATTTTTAATTTTAAATTAAAGAAAAATTTCTTATTTAATAAATTTCCCCTAAAGCAGTCTAGCTGCTTTAGGGGAAATTGGGTTCCGCTTGAAACCCGTCAAAATATTGGTGTCGATTGTTAAGGAATGTGTTTTAAGGATTTACAAAGTTATCAGCCTACTTTTTTAAGAATATATTTCCAAGAATAGAATAGGTATTTCAAATATATTTATGCCCGACACAATTATGTTGTAAGGGTATTATAGCATTGTGTGGCCTCAAGAGTTTGAAACACCGCGAAGTATTGGTCGTAGACCCACATTTTAGTATACCGATGTGTGTCCGTCCGCCCGTCTGTCCGATATAATTTAAACACGCTACAGGCTTCAGTTTTCAACCAATCGCCACGATTGGGCCAAAGAAGGCACCAATTTATCGGGCCAAAACAAACCCAATTTTTATAAATGATCGATTAATGTTTAGGGGGTGAAATGGATCATAAACTGTTTTCACCACGAAATTTTACACAGAGAAAGGGTTCTGACCATGGAATAAGCATAACTGTTTTGATGAAGATCGGCCAACATATAGCGGGCCAAATTGACCTAGACTTTTGTGTGAGAAATTACTAATTTGTATTTTGTGGCGTATATATTTTTAATGGACATAGACCAAAAAAAAATCAAAATTTTAGACCTTTAAATTGATACTTTTGATGTATATAATGTGACTGCTGCGTTCACTGGATTTTTAATGACTTATTCCGAAAAAATCGAACAAATTTAGCAAAAGAGGGATAATCCGAGCCAAAGGATTTTTTTTAATTTTTCTATCTAATGACTACGAAAGCAATAAACGTGGATAAGATTAGATTTTTAATTTCTTATTCAAAGGCCGATTATTTAAACAAATAATTTGCAAAGCACTATCAGAGCTAAAAGCGTGGGTTTCTTAAAAACTAATTTAACGCGTATTTTTTCAGATTTCAAAGAATAATAATTAAATCAGAACTATAAGACTGGAGTTAACAAAATATTTTTAAAAATTTAGAATTTTAAAAATATTTTGCAAAGGACTATAAACGTGGATTTTTTTAATACTATTCAAAGGACTCTTAGAGCTATATGTGTAGATTTTATAAAAATATTTTTCAAAGAACTATCAGTTCCATAGGTGAATATTATTTTAAATATTTTTCAAATACTTTCAATGGTATATACATGGATTTGTAAAGGATTATAAATATATATGTATCGGAGCTATAAGAAGGGTTTCTTAAAATTATTTTCAAAGTAATATCAGAGATATATGAGAGGTCTTAAAGTGACAATATCGTGGTCTAAAAACGTGAATATATTAAATATTTTTCAAAGAACTATAGTTTCGTAGGCGAAGATTTTTGAAATATTTTTCAAAGGACTACTAGAGCTATAAGTACAGATATTTTAAATATTTTTCAAAGGGCTATCAATGCTATAAAGGACTATCGTGCTATAAGAAGGACTTTTAAAAAATATTTTCAAATTGAGATATAAGAGTTGACTTTTTCCATAGGACTAGCAGTGACAATATCATGGATTTTTTAAAAGACTGTCAGAAATATGAGCGTTGGTTTTTAAAGGACTATCAGAGATATACGAGTGGCTTCTTTTAAAGGACTATCACAGATATAAGGGTGACTTCTTTTAAAGGACTAACAGATATATAAGCGTGGATTTTTAAAGGTCTATAAGATATAGGCGTAGTTTATATTTAATGGACTATGGAAGATATAGGCGTGGTTTATATTTAACGGACTATGAGAGATATAGGAGTGGTTTATATTTAAAGGACTTGAGAGATATACTGGTTTATATTTAAAGATACAGAGATATAGTGGTTATATATTTAATATTTAAAGGACTATGAGAGATATTTAAAGGACTATGAGAGATATAGGCGTCGGTTAATATTTAAAGGACTATGAGAGATATAGGCGTGGTTTATATTTACAGGACTATGAGAGATATAGGCGTGGTTTATATTTAAAGGACTATGAGAGATATAGGCGTGGTTTATATTTAAAGGACTATAAGAGATATAGGCGCGGTTTATATTTAAAAGACTATGAGAGCTATAGGCGTGGTTTATATTTAAAAGACTATGAGAGCTATAGGCGTTGTTTATATTTAAAAGACTATGAGAGCTATAGGCGTTGTTTATATTTAAAAGACTATGAGAGATATAGGCGTGGTTTATATTTACAGAACTATGAGAGATATAGGCGTGGTTTATATTCAAAGGACTATGAGAGATATAGGCGTGGTTTATATTTAAAGGACTATGAGAGATATAGGCGTGGTTTATATTTAAAGGACTATGAGAGATATAGGCATGGATTATATTTAAAGGACTATGATAGATATAGGCGTGGTTTATATTAAAAGGACTATGAGAGATATAGGCGTGGTTTATATTTAAAGGACTATGAGAGATATAGGAGTGGTTTATATTTAAAGGACTATGAGAGATATAGGCGTGGTTTATATTTAAAGGTTTATATTTAAAGGACTATGAGAGATATAGGCGTGGTTTATATTTAAAGGACTATGAGAGATAAAGGCGTCGGTTAATATTTAAAGGACTATGAGAGATATAGGCGTGGTTTATATTAAAAGGACTATGAGAGATATAGGCGTGGTTTATATTTAAAGGACTATGAGAGATATAGGCGTGGTTTATATTAAAACTATGAGAGATATAGGCGTGGTTTATATTAAAAGGACTATGAGAGATATAGGCGTGGTTTATATTAAAAGGACTATGAGAGATATTTAAAGGACTATGAGAGATATAGGCGTGGTTTATATTAAAAGGACTATGAGAGATATAGGCGTGGTTTATATTAAAAGGACTATGAGAGATATAGGCGTGGTTTATATTAAAAGGACTATGAGAGATATAGGCGTGGTTTATATTAAAAGGACTATGAGAGATATAGGCGTGGTTTATATTAAAAGGACTATGAGAGATATAGGCGTGGTTTATATTAAAAGGACTATGAGAGATATAGGCGTGGTTTATATTAAAGGACTATGAGAGATATAGGCGTGGTTTATATTAAAAGGACTATGAGAGATATAGGCGTGGTTTATATTTAAAGGACTATGAGAGATATAGGCGTAGTTTATATTTAAAGGACTATAAGAGATATAGGCGTAGTTTATATTTAAAGGACTATGAGAGATATAGGCGTGGTTTATATTTAAAGGACTATGAGAGATATAGGCGTGGTTTATATTTAAAGGACTATGAGAGATATAGGCGTGGTTTATATTTAAAGGACTATGAGAGATATAGGCGTGGTTTATATTTAAAGGACTATGAGAGATATAGGCGTGGTTTATATTTAAAGGACTATGAGAGATATAGGCGTGGTTTATATTAAAAGGACTATGAGAGATATTAAAAGGACTATGAGAGATATTTAAAGGACTATGAGAGATATAGGCGTGGTTTATATTTAAAGGACTATGAGAGATATAGGCGTGGTTTATATTTAAAGGACTATGAGAGATATAGGCGTGGTTTATATTTAAAGGACTATGAGAGATATATGCGTGGTTTATATTTAAAAGACTATGAGAGATATAGGCGTGGTTTATATTTACAGGACTATGAGAGATATAGGCGTGGTTTATATTTACAGGACTATGAGAGATATAGGCGTGGTTTATATTTACAGGACTATGAGAGATATAGGCGTGGTTTATATTTACAGGACTATGAGAGATATAGGCGTGGTTTATATTTACAGGACTATGAGAGATATAGGCGTGGTTTATATTTACAGGACTATGAGAGATATAGACGTGGTTTATATTTAATGGACTATCAGTTTACACCAATATCAGAGAGTTCATCAGGAGACTACAGGTAAACAAGTTATGACGTACCACTCAGAACTGAAATTGGTAAAACGAAATAGTCACAAGATGACCAGTTTTGCGAAGAACAACGCGACAATTTGCTTCGAATTGCTTTTCCCAGGATGAGCTTTCGAAAGATTTGTAACGTTCACAGATCCTCTCGGTCGATTGTTTTTTCTTTCGGAGCGAAAATGCAGTTCTATGCTCATCAATGCATACTTTTAAATGTTAAATAAGAAATAATCTACCATTCAAAAAAGACTATGCATTCAACTTCAATAGTGTTATTTTATACCTTTAAAGCAATCTTGCGTTATACTCTATTAAAACATAAGCATTCCTTCCAATTATAAGACCCGCTGGTAAGCCTTTATTTTGTCTCATTATCCTTTGAGCTTTGAGTACACAAACAATCAACGACGCTCTCTCCCTCTATCCGTTTATATGTGTGTGTAGTGTACGGTGGGTGTCTGTCTTATTAGACGACAAGCTATTGTCGCTGTGCCATTGTGGGTCTTAATGTGTGCTAAACTTGTCACAATTGTTTTGTGTGTTGATGTTGTTGTTTCTCATTGTCGTCTGTCCGTCAACAACAACATTGCATATACATCGTCGTCTGCCATTTAAGTGTAAAGGTGTTAAATTGTGACAGAAATTGGTTTGTGATTTTTTTCTTGCATTCTTCCATTTGTGTGCTAGAGAGACGACAGATAGATAGACGCCACTGTTGCTATTCTCGAGAAATAAAGATAACAATTGATTATGGGTGGGATGCTAATAGGGGGAGGATGTGATGGGCATTCAATGCAAATTATGTTCGTTGTTGTTCATTTTTGTATTCATTGTGTTGTATCTTGTTTTTTCATGTTTTGCAGATTAAACAACTTGAACTGGGTGATCAATTTCCGGAGATAAAAACCCTAAGAGTCCACAATATTGAGCTGGATGAGAGCGGCGAACGTATTGAGAATTTAGATTTATTAATGGAAATTCATTATATGGGCAATTTCCGGACATCCATTGATGCTGATATGGTGCTGGGCAAAAAGGGGTCATTGACACTGAAGGGTAAGTATGTGGTGGCGAACTAGATGTGTGTTAGCTTTTGAGTTCATATGTGATATTTATTTTTGGGACTTTCGTTACTTTGTTATGCGAACTCAAAGAAAATGTTCGGATGACCTACAAAAAATTCAGCAGATTAAGATGATTGATGACTTTAGGAAACACTCTAACTTGCTTGAGTTTGCTTTTGTAAAAAGCTCTCCTGATTTAATATATTAGGAAATGTAAGACGACACTAGTCTTTGGGGACTCATCGCAAACTTTTCATGCTTATGATGTCATCTAATGCCGAATAAAGGAAAATTGGAATAAAGTGTAGAGATTGTATTGAAATAAATCTTGTGATGGAAATCTCAGCAATGACAGGCTTGTATTGTATTAATAAGTTCTTAACTGGGATTCTGGGAATTTTTTAGGAATATTTTCCCATTGCCTGTCAATGTATGGATTTTTTAGAGGGATATTTTCGATAGAATCCATCAAGACGTGGATTTGGAATATTTTTCCCACCAAGGTGTGGATTTTTAACAGAATGTTTTTCCCACCAAGGCGTGAATTTTTCGATAATATTTTTACTCGTTGCCAATTTTTTATCAATATATTTGAAGATAATTTTGTTATTTCCCTTTCTTTTTCAGTGAAACAACTATCCGGCCTGGCTCGATTGCAATTCACACGAAATCCCTATACCCATTGGTCATTGAGTTTCCTCGGTGATCCAGAATTGGATTTGGCCATTGAATCCCGCTACCAGGGCAGACAAATGCAATCAAATATAACCAGTCTGATATCGAATCAAATCCGTAAAGCTGTACGCCGCAAACACACCCTACCCAACTATAAGCTACGCTATAAACCCTTCTTCCACAAGACACCCGAAGAAGATGTGGGCGAAGGCGACATTCAACCAAATGGCATGCTAGAGGTTAAAATTTCCGAAATATCACGTCTCATGTGTCCTACACACCTGACCGACATCTATTGTACGATTACTATGGCTTCGTTGGCCTTTGTTGAGGCCTGGCAACAGGATGATCGACATGTGAAGGTCTCATTAGACGTGGAAATTCATAAGGCCAAGAATCAACAGATTGGCATTATCTTTAAGCAATCAGCTGTCGATTGTGTGGAAATTGAGGCTGTATTACCGAATACTCCGGCATGTAAATCAAATCTCAAGGTGGGGGATATTCTGTTGGCCATTGAGGGGAAGCGAGTCTCCTCAATACAACAGGTGGCGAAGATAATAAAAAGTCTGCAGGCAAATGTTTTTTGTTTGCGCATCGATCGGGTCATACCGGGTATTATACGCAACGATGCGATTTTAGAAGATCTGGATATTTATGAAGATTTGGGAGATGCACGTTCGGGTTATGGATCGATGGCGCAAAAGACCCCTGAACCCCAAGTTGCATCAGTAGCGGCGACACCAAGTCCTGTAATACGTCCTAGCGCAATAGCGGCGGAAAAGAACACCAGCAGTGAATCGAGTTTAAGTAATACACCCACAAATTCCCCCAAAAAGACAAAGCTGATAGCGAAAGCCTTGAAGAAGACCATAAGTCGTGATCACGGCGATGGTTCGTCCAAGGACGACGATGGCAAATTGAAACCCTCAAAATTGGCTGCAAAGCAACAGCTGAATTTACCCAAAGTTCCTTCTAGAACAAATTGTGAAAGCCTGCTGGCCAACTTGTTACCCACCAGTCTCGCAGCATCGGGAGTCCACGATGTGGAACATTATTATCAACATTCGACGGTAGATTGTAAGCTATCGCGGCTGATACACATGGAGGATGTGTGTAATTTCAAATTGGATCCCCACTGTCGATATTTGAATATTTCCGTTTATGGCAAAAGTTTGGGAGAAAACCAGTTGCTGGGTTTCACCAATATTCCGATTTATCAAATACTGGCGGAATGTTGTGAAACAAGTTTGAGTCAAAGTTTCAAGACATACGAGCTGAATCCTCCCATACCAGAAGATTTGTAAGTTCTGTAATAAAAGTATTATTAATTATTTTTAATAATGAAATTCGCATTTCTTTCCTTTAGAAAAAATCATTATCTGTCCTCTCAATCGGGATTTAATCCCAATCTATGTTTTGGTGATATTTTGCTGGCATTCACCTGGGATGGTAATCCAAATTTGTCTGCTACCGAAACGCCATCTAAACAGCCGCAGACAAAAACCAAATCAAAGTAAGTTGTGGAATATTTAAGGGGGATCCTTTCCACAAGCTCCATTGAGATTTTTAAAAATAGCGTGAATTTAAAAAAAAATAATTTTTAACTTCCAACACAGGCGTGAATTTGTTAAAAAAAATCTTTTTTTCAACAACCAACAAAGGCCTAGATTTTTTAAAATATTTTTTCCTCCTTTATCTTCCAGATCCATTAGCTCTGTAGATAAGACCGATGACAGCGGTTACTCTGACAATATTTCCATAAAATCTACAGACACCATACCCTCACAGCCTCGGGCGCACAATTTCGTGCGTACCCATTTCCAACGAGCCACCCAATGTGATTTTTGCGGCAAGAAAATCTGGCTCAAGGATGCCATGCAGTGTCGTGAATGTTTCATGTGTTGCCACAAGAAATGCATAAACAAATGTCAAAATGCCACAGTCTGTGGTCCAGTGGATTGCTCCACCGCCCTAACACAGACACAAATACAAACGCCATTGGTACAAACTCCAGAATTTATGGTCACCGATGCTGATATTGATGTTGCGGTTGAACCTGACTGCGATACCTCATCGAATGCTGGCGGAGATACCACAACAAAATCCCCACAACCATCCAATAGTGGCAGTAATACTGCCACAACTCCTAGTAATCTGGAGGTACATCGTTCAAGTTTGACTGGATTATTGGCACAGGGTATTAAACGGGTTAATTCGGCCAATAATCTTGCCATACCTGGCATCGTATCGACAATAGCTGGAGTATCAAATAATTCACCATCGGCATCCACGGGCTCGGGATCGACAGCTGGCAGCAGCACTGTGACACCAAGTTCTCTGGCAAAAAGTTTACCACCAAGTCCACAGCATACACCAAGTCGGTAAGTTCGGCGGGTCAGATTAAATGGGATTTTTATAAATTTTGGAATTATTTATTTATAGGAAAGCATCCTTAGCCCCATCAGCCCCAAATACCTTTGATTTAGTAACCCAACGTTTGGAAGCATTGCCCATCGATGTTCCAAGTTTTACACCAGAACAAGTGGTTTCCATTACTGAACACATTATCCAGTTATCCATAGATGAGGATGTTATGAACCTGGCCAAAAATGCCAGTAAACAATTGTACTGTAATTTGAGTGGAAATGAGCGGGTGGAGAAAATTAATTTATTGGTAAGTGGAAAGATTGGGTACTCTCCACCATAAGTATACTGACAGACACTTGAAATGAAAATATAGGGAAAATACCAAAAAGTGAACCTATACCGATAATTCTACAAACGGATTTATGTAAACCATTATATACACCAAATAAAAATGTCAGCAATTTTTTATGGGAATTTTTCCTAAAATCTGAAAACCCCAAACCCCGATGCTAATAACCTATAGTAGAGTATAAAATCCTCAAAGTACTGCAATTTATATTGCAATTTTATATGAGGCTATGCCTAAATGGAGACCAATATTGATTACATAGTGTAGGAATTAGCGAATATTTAAAGTTATCATTATATGAGGTCTATAACTAATTAATGACCGATATTTTAGTTATGTATCTCAATTCTTCCCTTCAGGAATTATCATTATATGGAGGAGATGCCTGCCGATATATATGACATACAAATTTCAGAAATTTTTTTTGGATATTTTTCCTAAAAACCCCAAAAAGTGGACCGATATTGACCACAGGTTTTATATAATTCATTCTCGAACCTAACGTTATAATTTGTTATCTCGATATCCTCTGCAGGTAGAATGATTACAAGAAAGTCCTAGAACCCAACCCAAAATTCGGAACAAATCAGATAACTATTTTAATATAAAAAGGGGGTTATATGGGGACTACCCATAAAATGGTGCGAATATTAATAATTTTACCAAGAATACCCAAAATACCGAAAATTGGGGTGCACACTTACCCGATAAAATGTACCTATATTTATAATTTTTAGTAGAGAGATTTGCTACCCAATAAAAACTCGAAGTACTAAATTACTGCCAATTTGGTCTAAAAATACGATCAGAACCCCTAAAATACCGACAATTTTGGGGAACTGTTATATGGGAACTACCAGAAAAAGTGGACCTATAAATTATAATTTTTAGTGTAGAAATTTGGTACCCAATAAGAACCCAATGTACAAAATGTCAGCGAATTTAATTATAAAACGCGCCCAAGAACCCCAAAATACCTAAAACTGGGGGTACCCATATATGGGGGCTATCCGAAAGAATGGACCTATATTTATAATTTTTAGTAGGGAGATTTTCTACCCAATAATAGCTCAAAGCACCAAATTTCTGCGAGTTCGGTCGAAAAATACGATCAAAAGCCCCAAAATACCGAACATTTGGGGTACATTTATATGGGGACTACCAGAAAAAGTGGATCTATATTTATAGTTTTTAGTGGAGTAATTTGGTATCCAATAAGAACTCAATGTACAAAATTTCAGCGAATTCAGTAATAAAACGCGCCAAAGTACTCCAAAAAATACAGACAACTGGGGGTACCCTTATATGGGGGCTATCCGAACAAATGGGCCTATATTTATAATTTTTAGTAGGTAGATTTGCTCCCCAATCAGAACTCAAACTACCAAATTTCAGCGAATTCGGTCGAAAAATGCGATCAAAACCCCCAAAATACTGCAAAATTGGGGATACCCTCCGAAAAATGGACCCATATAGAAAGTTTTCGGTGGAGAAATTTGCTACCCAATAACAACTCAAAATACCAAATTTTAGCGAATTCTGTTGAAAACACGCTCAAGAACCCCAAAATACCGAACATTGGGGGAACCCTTATATGGGAGCTATGCCTAAACGTGGACCGATGTAGCCCATCTGTGAACTAGACCTGCCTGCAGAAAAAAATAAAAATTACTTTTGCAAAGGCTGCCTAAGGCGTGGATTTATTAAAAATTAGTTTTTAAGGGACTGTCTGAGGCGTGGATTTATTAAAAATTAGTTTTTAAGGGACTGTCTAAGGCTTGGAGTTATTAAAAATTTGTTTTTAAGGGACTGTCTAAGGCGTGGATTTATTAAAAATTTGTTTTTAAGGGACTGTCTAAGGCGTGGATTTATTAAAAATTAGTTTTTAAGGGACTGTCTAAGGCGTGGATTTATTAAAAATTAGTTTTTAAGGGACTGTCTAAGGCGTGGATTTATTAAAAATTAGTTTTTAAGGGACTGTCTAAGGCGTGGATTTATTAAAAATTAGTTTTTAAGGGACGTGGATTTATTAAAAATTAGTTTTTAAGGGACTGTCTAAGGCGTGGATTTATTAAAAATTAGTTTTTAAGGGACTGTCTAAGGCGTGGATTTATTAAAAATTAGTTTTTAAGGGACGTGGATTTATTAAAAATTAGTTTTTAAGGGACTGTCTAAGGCGTGGATTTATTAAAAATTAGTTTTTAAGGGACGTGGATTTATTAAAAATTAGTTTTTAAGGGACTGTCTAAGGCGTGGATTTATTAAAAATTAGTTTTTAAGGGACTGTCATAAGGCGTGGATTTATTAAAAATTAGTTTTAAAGGGACTGTCTAAGGCGTGGATTTATTAAAAATTAGTTTTTAAGGGACTGTCTAAGGCGTGGATTTATTAAAAATTATTTTTTTAAGGGACTGTCTAAGGCGTGGATTTATTAAAAATTAGTTTTTAAGGGACTGTCTAAGGCGTGGATTTATTAAAAATTAGTTTTTAAGGGACTGTCTAAGGCGTGGATTTATTAAAAATTAGTTTTAAAGGGACTGTCTAAGGCGTGGATTTATTAAAAATTTGTTTTTAAGGGACTGTCTAAGGTGTGGATTTATTAAAAATTAGTTTTTAAGGGACTGTCTAAGGCGTGGATTTATTAAAAATTTGTTTTTAAGGGACTGTCTAAGGCGTGGATTTATTAAAAATTTGTTTTTAAGGGACTGTCTAAGGCGTGGATTTATTAAAAATTAGTTTTTTAGGGACTGTCTAAGGCGTGGATTTATTAAAAATTAGTTTTTAAGGGACTGTCTAAGGCGTGGATTTATTAAAAATTAGTTTTTAAGGGACTGTCTAAGGCGTGGATTTATTAAAAGAAAATTCGAGGTATGTCGAAGCCTGTCTAAGGCGTGGATTTATTAAACATTAGTTTTTAAGGGACTGTCTAAGGCGTGGATTTATTAAAAATTTGTTTTTAAGGGACTGTCTAAGGCGTGAATTTATTAAACATTAGTTTTTAAGGGACTGTCTAAGGCGTGGATATATTAAAAATTAGTTTTTAAGGGACTGTCTAAGGCGTGGATTTATTAAAAATTAGTTTTTAAGGGACTGTCTAAGGCGTGGATTTATTAAAAATTAGTTTTAAGGGACTGTCTATGGTGTGGATTTATTAAAAATTAGTTTTTAAGGGACTGTCTAAGGCGCGGGTTTATTAAAAATCAGTTTTTAAGAGACTTAGACAGTCACTTGGCATGGATTTATTAAAAATTTGTTTTTAAGGGACTTAGACAGTCCCTTGGCGTGGGTTTATTAAAAATTTGTTTTTAAGGGACTTAGACAGTCCCTTGGCGTGGGTTTATTAAAAACTATTAAAAAATAAAGACAGCTTAAAAGTGGAAATATTAATTTTTTATTTTTTACAGCTAACCAAACTCCGTATGGCCTTGGACAGTGAAACAGCGATACATTCAACTTTGGCAGCCACCATTAAAAATACCAACAACGATGCCACAAATACAACAACGGCAGAAAGTTCAATACAAAACAACAAATCAAATATTTTAGGGAAATCAGAGGAACGCATTCAGGCTCTGAGTGTCATAATGTTGTATCTCTGTACGGGTCTGCAGCATGCTCAAGGTGTGGCAATGCAATAAAAAGCCAGGCGGAAGGATAAAGTCTCGTTTCTAAAACAAAACACTGATACACTGATGATGAAAACAAGAAAACAAAAACAAATAACTATACACACATAAGGCTGAATTCATTTCAAAAACAAAACAACAAAACGAAAACTCGAATTACAACAACAAAGAAACTAAATTTTATGGAATTTTGAAGTAGTCAAATTAAAACTAAACAATGTATTAGAAAAATTAGTTAATTAGGGGATGTGGAAAAATCTAACCTACAATACAACAAACACACAAATACATATACCTACATGACAAATAGATATACCCCCCAGATGGATAAATGTTTAATCCACAAAATATTCAATATGATATGATATTTAATTAACCTGTAGTACATAATTACTTATATATCTGAATGTATGTATGTATTCGTACGTTACATTAGTGTGCGTAGTTATGATCTTGCAAAGGTATGTAAACAAGCCTGACAGGGTGCTTACAAATACACAAACAATATTTTGGGAATTCTTTGGAAATAAATATTAATAAAACTATAAATTTTTAAACAATCTAAAATATTTTCAAATTTTTGTATTTTTAAATAACTATCTTCAATATTTCCAAAAAATGTTTTATATTACTAATAACTGCTAAATGTTGTATATTGAATGTGTTTTACAATAATTAAAGAAGAAAGAAAAAAAATGGAATCTTAAAGGGATGCACCAGTTCTTATGAACATTTACCCTCTTGTTTTTTAATCCCAAAATCAAATTGTTTAAAAATTTTATTAAAACAAAACCAAAATAAAATATAAATATTGTTTTCAAAATAGCCTTTTGAGCAGAGTGAATGAACAAAAATAAAATCTAAATATTAAATCTAAAAACAAATATTTCAATTTAGTGTTAAACATACACCAATTATAAGAGATTTTTAATTAAATTATATATTTGTTATGTAAGAAGAAGAGTAACAAAAATGTTGAAAACACACAAATCGGGCATCGGTCAACTGGTAATACACAAAACAAAAAAACACTAAATATTAATTGAAACAGTATTGAATAAAAATAATAATTTTAAAATCCAAATGTTTTTATATATATACACATACACACACACACACAATGTGTTAATATTAGTTTCCTTTTTTAAAAATGTTATCAAATATATTATGAACTTATCTTTGAGAGGTTGGGGCGAAAAAAAACTTTGTCCCCCTACAACAACAAAAATTACAAAAAAAAACTTAACGAAAGAAACAAATCAACAACAATAATATATGAAATTGTTTGTCCTTCACTTTTAAACAAAAAATAAATGAAATAGCATAAAAATAATAATAGAAAGTGTCATTGTTTTCTTTATAAATACAGTCGAATTCGGTTAAGCGAAAACACCTAATTTCAGTAAATTTTTTCTCTTAAGCAGGATTTTCAATAAAAAAATATCGGATAAGCGAAACTCGTTGCGCTTAAACGCAGTTTTCAAACAATATCTGAAAAATCGTGAAATTTATAAACGATATTATAAAATGAATTGAGTATGAACTTCTTTTTTCGTAGAAATTTGATTGCAAGGTTGGAAAAATGTGCAACAAAAGTTTAGGGTTGCACATACAAATTTTAATGAAGTTCGTCGAATTACAAAAACTATATTTTTTCTCTTAAACGGTGCTCGTCTCACATATATTTGTGTTTTTGCAACAAAAAAGTCTTTCTCTTATACAGATTTTCAATTCGTTTTTTAAGCGGAGTAAAATGTTTGAAAAATCATCCGAAATTATAGTTTATAATGTTTAGTTTCAATAAACAGATTTTTTCGATAAACCAGTGTTCGCTTATCCGAATTCGACTGTGTATATTCATGATTCAGTGAAAATCGAAGCTCAGATTAAAATATTCTACTAACAAGGTATTATATCGGAAATTGTCATGGTAAATTGCTGCAATGTAAAAATAGCAAAAATTTTGAATATTTCTAACCATGGATTTTCATAATTGACCAAATAAGGAAAGCGAATTTAAATGTAACAACGTATCGAGCGGATAAATTACTGTAAGCAAATAATCGCCGACATATTGGCTGTTATTTGGTATTTTGGGTTCGCATTGAAATGATCAATTTTGGTCCAATTTTCAGAGAAGACCACATATAACGGTACCCCACTAATTTCGGTCTTTTGACCTTTATATTAATATTTTGAATTCTCATTTAGTGTGAAACTCTCGTACCAAAAACTTTCAATATTAACATAACTTTCGGGGTAAGCCCCATAATAGGCGGATCATTATCCGGTATTTTGGGACATTTTTGGGAATTCGAGCAAATTTTTTAACTAACTTAAATTTTTACCAGTAAGCGGAGCAGTATAGTCGGACGGGGATGAACATATGATAGCCTACACAATTACCACCGAACTCTAACACGGCATTTGTACCCTCTAAACCGAGGTTAAGAGCTCCTCTTCCTCACCTTGGCATATTTTACGCATCACGTTTCCTGGAGTAACATGTACGTCATACAGTTTAAATTAGGTCTGTACACATAAAAGTCTTGGCCTAAATAAATAGTAGGCCAGATCCTTTTCCCGTGTAAAATTTTTCATGTTCGGCTTACGGCCTTTAGAGCGACTAGAAAACTATGCGAAAAAATTCTTTGATTCATTCCATCTTCCAAATATAATCTGATCATCACAGAAATTTCATAGCGATCCGCGCGACATTTTCGCCTTCTAATGCGGTAATGGTATCACTAAACAAATCAAAATATGTAGACACCTGTATTTATCTTACTATAACTCCCATAGTACATACAACAATATAATTGGTGTCAATTTAAATGTCAACCACTCCTTTTGAAGATACTGCCAACTTCTTCGGTCTATGTTCTTCAGGAGTAAATATATAAGCCATAGAAAGTTTTTTTATATACACCGATCTTCATCAAAACAGCATGCTATGCTATAATCTATAATCGGTGTAAAATTTCGTGATATTCTAGAGCTTCAAGAAAAACCGACAAAAATAAATGTTTTGATCCATTTCATCCCCTTACTATTAACAGAGCATAACCAAAAACAATAGGTTCTTCTTTGGCCAGAACCCGTCCCACATGCAAAATTTCATGGCGATTGGTCCACAATCGTTTTTACAAATTATAACGGACAGACGTGCGGACATACATGTCTAGATCGAAGGTGTAGTTGTGTAGGATATAATTAAATATTTAATTTTTTACGCCATAGTGTTTTTTGTTCTTGATTTTCAAAATCTGTTTTCACAGTTGTAATCACTGACCATAGCTCAACAAAATGTGGTAAATAATAAGTTGAGTGATAAAAATTTAAAGAAAATTTTTGTAGAACATTTCGTCCTTCTAACTCGATTCCTTGAGTGTACTTTTCGTCCTTAATTTATTGAACGGGACTCCTATTATCACAATGAGCTATTGTTCATCCTGGCAATATTGGTGTCATCAAACACATGAAATCGATATTTTAACGTTTTTAACAGTTTTTATGCATGTACGCATTTCAAAAAATCAGTATAGATTCCCTATTATATAGAACTTTCGGATTATATATGGTTATGTAAAATGCGTCAAAAAATAAATAAAAAGAACCGACTTTCTAATTTTTTAACCGGATATTCAGATAATAAAACCGATTTCAATGCCTTATGAACATATCTTTAAAAAGCTAGTAAACAAACGTGCTATGTCAGCTTAAAAAGGATCACGCCATATCTCCGAACTTTGACCTATGGTGAATTTGTCCTCCTGGAGTTTTCATATCATCATCATTAATGCAACCGGACGTAACTACACTTTCACTAATTTTGTAGGAGAAGCAAAAAAACGTTATAAAATCTATAAAAATGGAACACTGCTCGATTTTTTATACCCTTCACCACTCTGTGGTACAGGGTATTATGTCTTTGTGCATATGTTTGTAACAGGCAAAAGGAATCGAGATAGACCCATGGTTCCTTTTGAGAATATTCATAGAATCACTTTCTGAGTCGATTTATGCATGTCCGTCCGTCCGTCCGTCTGTCCGTCCGTCCGTCCGTCTGTAGATGTTAAATTGTAAACAAAGTACAGGTCGCATTTATGATCCGATTTGGATGAAATTTGGCACATGTCACTTATTCGGCCCAAGGACGAACCCTATTGAAATTGGGAAAAATCGGTTCAGATTTAGATATAGCTCCCATATATATATTTAACCGATATAATGTAAACGGTCCCTATATATCTTTCGATTTGCACGAAATTTGGTACAGCCTAATCATTTAGGTCTAGAATGATGTCTGCCAAGTTTCATGAAAATCGGTCCAGATTTAGATATAGCTCCCATATATAGTTTCGTCCGATTTCATGTAAATGGTGCACCAAAGTCTCTATATATCCTTCGATTTGCACTAAATTAGGTATAACGTAATTAATTTGAGCCTAGAATGATGTCTGCCAAGTTTCGAGAAAATCGGTCCAGATTTAGATATAGCTCCCATATATAGTTTCGTCCGATTTCATGTAAATGGTGCCCCAGAGTCCCTATATATCTTTCGATTTGCACGAAATTTGGCATAACGTACTGAATTGGGCCTAGAATGATGTCTGCCAAGTTTCATGAAAATCGGTCCAGATGTAGATATAGCTCCCATATATAGTTTCGTCCGATTTCATGTAAATGGTGCACCAAAGTCTCTATATATCCTTCGATTTGCACTAAATTAGGTATAACGTACTGAATTGAGCCTAGAATGATGTCTGCCAAGTTTCGAGAAAATCGGTCCAGATTTAGATATAGCTCCCATATATAGTTTCGTCCGATTTCATGTAAATGGTGCACCAAAGTCTCTATATATCCTTCGATTTGCACTAAATTAGGTATAACGTACTGAATTGAGCCTAGAATGATATCTGCCAAGTTTCGAGAAAATCGGTATAGATTTAGATATAGCTCCCATATATAGTTTCGTCCGATTTCATGTAAATGGTGCCCCAAAGTCTCTA